GGGCTTGTTTGCTTGCTGACGTGGCGTTGCCGCGTTGTTGATGTGGTCGTTGTTGGTGGTCGACGATGTTTGTGGGCGGTGGTGGCCACAGCTGACCGTGGTGACGTGGCGTGGGTGGGTAGCGGGCGCGCATTTACGAGGAGCGGGGACGTTGGTGGTGGTGGGAGGAGAGGTTAGTGGTGGTGGGAGAGAAGAGGGTTGTATTTGGATGAGCGTGAAAGCCGTTGCCAAACAAACAATTGTTTGGCAATGGGCTTGTGCCAAACAAACCGGATTCCGGTTGCATTCCGTTTTTGCCAATCCGGGGACCATTCCGGTCACAATTCCGGAATGCCGAAATTCCGCCGGAATGGTAAAGCACCGGAATGGAGAAAATAGCAGGCCTCTCTGCTAAATTTCACTCCTCCGGAATCCACCGGAATCCACAGGAATGACCGGAATCCTACAGGAATTAGGGGGGCACTGATAAGACCTCCCATATTCTGCCACTATAGTCAAGGATGATAAGTTTATGAATATGTTTTGGATGGATATCAATAGAAAGCAATGATACCCCAGCTTGATATATGATATATCCTGGTTCAATATCTTGTTGAAAATATATCCTGGTTCAAGATATAGTTGGAATATATATCCTGGGTCAGGATATAATTGAAATATATGTCTTGTGAATATCTCCTGGTTGAAGATATAGTTGAAAGATATATCCTGATTCAGGATATAGTTTAAAAATAAATCTTGGTTGAGAATGTAGTGGGAAAATTCAAGATATACTTGTAAAATGATGTATCTTGATTCAGGATATTGTTGATAAGTATATCTTGCTTCAGCATCTAATTAACATATTGATATAGTTCAGAAATTATGTATTTGGATTCATGATATGGTTGAAAAATAGACTTGGTTCAGGATTTAGTGGAAAGATATGTGTGACCCCATATTGTGACATGGTGAATAGAATTTGTCAGAGGAGAACGGAATTGGTTGTCCACAAATTTTCAAGAGTCAAGAGAAAGAGAAAGGAAGGGAGGGAGAGGAGGAGAGGGAGAGAGGGAGAGAAGGAGAGAAACAACAAAGAACTTGGTGAACTCTTGTTTTTGAAAGTGGGGTGGAAGAGATGTTTGATATCACATGTGGAGGTTTGACTGTCAGGGGATGGTAATGTTTTTGAAACTGGGTTGGGAGAGATGTTTGATATCACATGCAAGGGTTTGACTAGCAGCAGATGGTAATACAGATGTTGGTGGGGTATGAAGATAAGGTGCAACTGGAGAGAGAAAGAGAGAAACAACAAAGAACTTTGTGAACCCTTGTTTTTAAAAGTGGGTTGGGCAAGATGTTTGATATCACATGTGGGGGTTTGACTAATACAGATGTTGGTGGGGTATGCAGATAAGGTGCAGCTGGAGATCTCAGAGCTGAAGTAGAGGCAGAGGTGGAGGGGATTTCTAAGCAGCTAAAAAATTCTGTGGTGTGAACTGTATCCATGGTGTCGAAGTGGATAATACTTAAGCAACTCCAGAATCTTGGACTGAATAGCTTCATTGTGAATCACATATGTCATTGATGCCCAAATTTGTTAGAGGATGAATCTGTAATGTGAACTGTATTCATAGTGTGATTGGAAGTGGATGATACTTGAGCAACTCAATGCTATTGATGCCTCTTATTGGTGTTGTTAGCGTTCTTTGACTTGGACATTGCTGTATTCCTGTGAATACAGAATAGTTAGTAATTTAGAATCTTAGGAGAACTTACTACTTAACCTGATTTGTATGAATGAGGTTGATAGTCGAGTTGAGTACGTGATAGTATGTATATCTTAGGTCATGTGAATCCTAAACATGAGTTGTACCTTATACGTTTGATGGTGTGTATGCTTAACATTGATGAAGTGACTTGTGTCGGAGACATTAGTACTAAGACATTAATGTTTTGGACTTAAGTATTTGATAGCATGTAGCTTTACCAAGTACTTATATCAAGTTGCACTTCATCTGCTTAAGTTCACATGAAGTTTATATGGGTAAAAGGAGTGTCTTTATTCTAAAGTACGAACATCCTACTTGTTTTTCTAGATACTTGAAGAAGGTCTTAGAATCTTCCAAGACCTTCGAGTGACTACTATTGCCCTTGTTTAGTTTACAAGTATGTGTTAGTATAAGCTTTGTTTGCCAAACACTGTCAAGCAGATGTGTTGCACATACAGCATATGAAGACACATTGAATTTGGGTATATACACACTATGTGACTAGATCCGACATGCTTATGTACATAATAGAATCCAATGAACTTGTTAGATAGAGGAATTGGATGAGAGGGAAATAGAGATTACTAAGGGCATATGGAGGTACTATAACAGGTGTCTACATACTGGGAGCACAAACCAGCCATAGTGCCAAAACCTCTGGAAATCATTGCAGAATCTTCCAGAATATATACCTCAGACAGCAAAAAAATCACAAGTTTTTTGCTGAAACTAGGACCCCTGACACCTCTACAGACCAGAAAAATATATCCTTACCACATTTGTTTCACAAAATATATCCTAAGGCCAAGACAGGGCAAAAATATATTTCTAAGGTGTGACAGTAACATTTCAGGGTCCACTCACCAAAAATATATCCTGACTGCATTTCACTTGCAAAATATATTTTGGAGGTGTGACACAGACATTATAATTTTTGTGTGACATTTCAGGGTCCATGTGTCAAGAATATATTTTAGATTTCAGGGCTTTCTAGGACCCATATATATCTAGAATATAGATATGGTCCATGACATTTAGTCATGTAACTTACATGGAGTTTGCATGACTAATAGTCAGTTGGTAGTGGGTGACTGAAGTGAGGCGCTGGCCGTGATATTCGAGATCTTATTTTTGAGTTTCTGAGCATGGGTGCTTTGGCCTATTTTGGCGCCATTGATCAAGAGAGCTGAGCTGGCATTCAAGGTTATATTCGTTGTTGTTTGCAAAAGCTTTTGGAACCATTTCTGGGATCAGGTTTGATATGCCGCTTTGCAAATAATCTGGATTAACTCAGAATTGCATCGTAGTCAACATCGAATCTTTTTTGGAACTCCTCAGGCAACATAACAGCACTATCATCAGTTCTGTCGCCTTGAAGCTCATTATGAACAGCTGTGGGACGTCTTGGAAATCCCACAATCTCAACATTAGGACACCCCTTTGCAGGCTCTCCACATTTTCGCAGTGGCTGCGAGGAATTGACTATAGGTTCAGTGGCACGGGTGTATTATGACGAGAAATTGCTGGTGCACTTACCCATACCATCTATGTTAATGGTGAAGGCCGAGTCATTACTGTTACAGAAACTAAAGAAACCAATTCATTTATCAGGGCTATCATTGGTGTGAGTCACACTGCCACCATGAACTTTGTTACATCGGAACATATTGGCTCTCTTTATCCTGTGGAGATGTTAAAAAATAGGCTCAGCTACGCCTTTAGAACTCCTCTCAGTCCGAGTCAGCAATCTGTCCTTTTGCGACACAGATTTGTTCTGGTGATGGAGTCCAATGGTCACCCCACTGGCGGACAGGTCTGTCCTGATTGTCATCGTCAATTGGCCAGCTTCATTGGTGTTGGCCTTATTGAATGAAAGTCTGGTGGACCAACAAGCAACTTCTTGACTAGGAGTTACACTTGGCGGCTGGGTGATTATTAGGGGGAGTCAGAGTGGCCGGTTCAGGGCGATTCAGCAACGATTCTAGATTGGGTTCAAAGACGATTCTGAAAAATTCTTTTTGTCTGAATCGTCGTTGAACCAGGTCTAACTCTGACCCCCCCGGTTCAGCTTGAGGGTAAAATCTCCATTTCAGCTCGGTTCTGACCACCTCTAGAATCCAAATACATGTTCCACACTCACAATTGTGCACGACGTCAACAATGTATGCACCTGAGCAGCCAAAGTATGCAGTGTAGACGATGGCTTTGGACAGTATTTTTGTGAGGATGTTGTAGGCGGTTATTGCAATGATACCGAGCACAGGGAGAAAATTTACGGCTGAAAACATATTTTCAAGGAGATAAATAGATAGATATATTCTGGATCCATCCTAATGAGGAACAACTGAAGTAAATAAATATTACAATCTAATGGATTAGGGTGTTATGGTACAAAGGAGGTAGAACCGAAACTTGAACCGACGGTGAAGCGCCTCTAGAGGCGCTTCACAACCGGTTCAGGTTCAGCGATGATTCAGCATGTTCCCACAGTTCAGACGTGAAATCAACACCTTTGAACCGTTTCCAAACCGTTTGTTGAATCGTCGCTGAACCGCTCACTCTGACTCCCCCTATTGTGCAAATCCAGTCTGTGCAGCTGAAAGAAATTGTTGTCATCTGGTTAGGCAAGACTCCTTTTGTAGATATGATTCAGAAATCAGCAAAGATGATGATTGACTCAAGGAGGTAGAATATGAGTACAGTAGATATTCTCACAATGCATAATGCTGGTCCCCAACTTTTTCTATGCATTGTGAGATTTATGCAAGATGAAATAGT